TCAGGCGAGATACCTGGGCGACAGGATAGCATCGATGAAGGCGCGGTAGAGTCGCCAGGAAGTTGGCGCGCACGTAAGCCGCCACGTTCATCGAGCTGTTGGCGGGCTCTTGATCGAACACAGCGTGCTGAGCGGCGCAAAACAGCAGCACGGTCACCGACAATAATTTTCCGGGAACGCCTACAGCAGCGGCACCGAGTACTCCTCTACCAGTACGTACTTGAAACCCTTGAACGCTCCTAAATTCTCTGGTAACTGAAGCTTTTCTTTGGTCGTGCAGGTTGACATTGTCAAGATCCGATTGCAGATGCAGACGTTGCTGCACGTGGCGGAACGGCAAGAGGTGATGGAAATCGCTTGGGGTTTGAGTGTCCGGATATTGTACCAAGGCGCCCAATTCTGCTTTCTACGAGATGTTCCGTACACCTTGTTGTTCTTCCCTTCCTACGCTACACTTCGCGATGCACGGGCCGACCAGCCTACGGGCAAGACCTCGATGCTGCCAATCGTTTGGGCTGGAGCAACTACAGGAGCGGGAGGTGCTGTTATCGGCACACACGCAGATGTGGTCAAGAGCGGATTGGAAGCAAAGGGGTCCATACATGGGAAGAATGGACTGCCTCCGGAAGGTGGTGGAGGTCAACTTCAACGTTTCGGGACACCATGCCAATGTGTACAGCATAGATGAAACAAGTTCTACGCAGAAGCCGTGGTTTTAGCGGCCTTCATGATGATGTGTTGCTGTTGCAGGATGTTAGGCTTCTAATGGATTAATGTAACTGAGCTAGTAGAATTCAGTGAGTTTAAGATGGTGTCTACTTGTGTGATTTCCTTTTAACGGCAAGGATACAGCTACTACTAGACCGACTTGCTCAGCACATTATGTCATGGCAGCGTTTCGTGCGTCTTAAATACCCATTTACCCGAAGAGATCTGCTAGCGTTGCCTTTTGACCACGGAATCCCTGAAGGGCCGAGGCTTCTTGTGGAAAATTGCGATCATTATGGTCAGTAAAGTTTGGCTTGACAGCCTCCGCAATTTCCTCGAGCTCGTTGATGCTCTCGTCATCCGAATACTCTTAATCGGACGTTCTTGACGCAGGCGCCCGGTTGGTTGGCGTGTAGGTGCTTCTAGTTGCGGTATGGTCTGCATCAATTTTGTCATCCTCAAATACTTTATCTAGATATTCACCCCACATCAAAAGGGTCGGATTGCCATCAACGTTGTCGCCAGGGTCTTCACCATCGCTATCCTCGTCTTCATTTATTGCTTCACGCTGCGGTGATCGAGAAAACAAGCTTGCACTGCTTACAACATCACTAATTATTTGTCTCTCATCTGCAGATATGATGAGTTTTTTTTTACATCACGAGAATCTTGCTTCAACTCTTGCTGTCGGACATGCTGTGCTATGATCTGAAAATCAAGAGCCTTAAGCGCATCCATGCGATTACGCTTGGTAGTG